ATGTGGATTCGAATGTGTCTCATGCTTGTTTTCATGTTGCTGTATATAAACTGACTTAATTTCTTCCCTTCCCCTGTGCAATCTGCAGGAAACCTCCTGGGTATCTGACTCACTCTCTTCATCCACTGACCGATTTCTGATCACACTGATTGCTATTTCTATTTTTACATTTCTACTTACGTCATCAGGTCTTCGGTCATGTGTTCTCCCTTTCTTTCCAGATTTCCTTCACCCGTGTCTCTCCGTCTGCTTCTCACCTCTTCTATTTTGTGTGGCTGAGGCAGCTTCTGAGAACTGTTGTTAGTTTGTTTGATTCCTATCCGTGTGAGATCTCTTAGTTACACTTGAATTTCTTCTGCAGAATGGCGTGCATTCATTTGTGGATCCTTTTGAATCGCAAGTTTCATAGATTTTTTTTTTCTTTTTTGCCACAGAAGCCAAGATCAGACTCAACAGTTTGTGACAGATTCCAATTTTAATGTGAACATGTACACAAAAGGAGTGTTGCAGGCCTCGGATCACGCTAAGGCTTTTTGTGAAAAACAGACACAAACACACAGGAATGCAGATTGAAGGGCACAAGATCAGAGGTGTGCAGAAATAATCGTTGAATCAGTGAAGTACTAGTGCACTTCAAACACTCCACACATAGATATTACTTTGTTGTTGACGGTTCATAAAAGTTCAAATTAAAAGAAATAAAACTCACTTAAATAAGAGTACCATTCGATAAATACGAGGTTCCTTAACCCAAAAAAGCCAAAGACACACCTAATTTAAATTTTTGCTGATTTCCACTTCAAGGTTTTCTCATTGTTCTCTGAGAGCTGCTGAAGTTTTGAGGTCTCGTTCTAACTACTCGACACATTAGGACATGATAGTGAGCGCTGAATTTGAAGTTTGATCTTGGAGGATAAATTAAGAAACCGTGTGCTCGAACACTATCAGCTGCTCGGTCTCTTGGTCACAGCTCATGATGTGAAGAAGCAGTTCAAATAAAATCTAATTTTCTTTACCTTGAATTTCAGATCAGCCAAATTTAAATCAGGTTTTTGCCTTTTAAGGGCAGAGTGGCACAATTGTTTTGATATCTCACTCGTTCATGTACAAATACCACCGACTGGATTTCCATTTCTGTAACACTGTTACCTCTTAAACATTCAACACAAACAGATCACTGCCGTACTGTCTTGAATTGTCCAGTCTGATCTAGGCTTCAGATGTACCTTGCTTATATACGGCTCTCTCTCTCTCTATATATATATATTTTCCATTATTGTATTGTTGCAGTTCAGAATTAGACGCCACTCACTTGCAATGCATATGGAATTTATTTATTTTTTTTAAGTTTTAGTGAAATGTGAAATGTTTTATCGGCTATTGACATCTCAGTTTAATGGACTGAATAATGCTTATTAGCACAAGTGCATTCAGAGTGCCTTGTTTGAATGCGCTCATGATGGCTAATTTATAGCAGCCTCGTATGGACACAAAAACATCTATTCAGATTGCGCACGCTCTTATGTAACATAAAATTAAATACATCTTTCCACAGTGACTGCACGAGAGGTATATTCATGCATTTTGCTCCAACAATTTACAGTGATCACCTGCTCCTTTGGTCTGCAATGAACTTATCTGTGCATGGCTTCATCTTTTTAAAAGTGAAAATAATGATAAAAATGTTACATGGAGACTTTTGCATTGTGTTTTTCCCACAACATTAAAATTGGATCTTTATTATATTAAAACCTGCTTTAATTGAATAACACGATGTAATCAATTACACTGCTCAAAAAAACCCACTTAAATCGCACAGAGAAAAGCTTTTTTGATATAAAATGTGTAATTCATAAACCCTTTGCAGGGAAGGTTCAAAATTATACCACCAATCAAAGTTTCAAATTGAAATTAGAGGCTGCTTCAACTGGTGTCATAGTGTGGCTCAGTAATGTGTGTGGCCACTGCGTGTCTGGATGCACTTCTGATAATACCCAAGGGTGAGATAGCAGACGGTGACCTGGCAGATCTCCTTGTAGACCTGGATCATTTCATCATTGACATCCGAGACAGTCTGGGTGTTCCCAGAGGTTCTCAGTTGGATTCAGGTCTGGGGAAATGAAGGCCAGTCAATGGCATCGATGCCTCTGTCATCCAGGAATTAGCTATACACCAGAAGAACCCACAGCAACAGCATACGGTCTGACAGTGGGTCTGAGGATTTCATCCTGGTACCTAACAGTGATCAGCTGTTTAGCATGTGGAGGTCTGTGCAGCTGTCCAAGGATGTGCCTCCCCAGTCCATCACTGACCCACCGCTAAGCACTCGTGCTCAGTGCTACTGCAGGCAGCATAACCCTGACCAAGGCATCGCCAGATTCTTTCACGTCTGTCACTTGTACTCAGTGTGAAGCTGCTCTCATCTGTGAAGAGAATGGCGTGTCAGCGGAGAACACGCCAATTCTGATGTTCACTGGTGAATGCCAATCAAGCTGCACTGTGCTAACGGCCACACCAAAGGACGTCGGCCCCTAGTCCCGTCTTCACGGTGTGTGACCGTTTGGTATTCGTATTGGTAGCCCACTGGGGTCATTTTGTAGGGCTGGGATTGGCGAGGCCCTGTCCAGTTCTCATAACATACGCTCCTACAGGAACCTGAATGTGCTGCATGGAGCGTCTCGTGATAACAGTGTTGACAAGGACGCTAGCAAAAAGCAAAAGCAGAGAAACGTGGTTCAGGAAGGACATGGGGAGTAATGGTCTGTGGCCACCACCTGCTAAACTGTTGTCATGTTGTTGCCTCTCTGGTGTGCCTGTTGTCGCTTTCATTGCACCAAAGCAGGTGAAATGGATTGCTCCCTAAATTTTACCTTTTTTTTGAGCAGTGTATTTGTACAACTTTCCAGTTAGAGAAAGGAAATAATTAATCTTGATTGAGTTTTGGTGGTGAGTGGATTTAAGGGAATGACAAGTCCCACTACACTCTAGAAAGTATAGTGTGATTTGTCCAACTGTAAGACAGAGTTTCGGTTTCTCTGAGTGACAAAAATGTGACTTTTTACCATATTTCTAACTAAAGAGATTTTTCTGAAATGGTCTGAACGTATGATAATAACACTTTTCTGACTTGCCAGTGGAAAAAACAAATCCACCCACCACTTCGCTACAAAACTACTTTGACAATTAGTCCTGACGCCAAATGTGACCACCCAGTTTTCGCTGCTCTAACCGAACCCTTTTTCTGAGACAGGACTTTGACGTCTGTGTGTCATCTTTCTCACAACTTTCCTGTTTCTAACAGGTGTACCCGTCTTGTTCCATGTCTCATAACGTGTTTCTGCATATGTAATCGTGGCGATGACACTTAATTCATATTAATCTGTTTTCTTCCCTTGCACCCCTTTCATTCTCTCTTCCAACGCTTAAAATAGAAGTGGAGCAAAAAGGTAAATAACAGACACGACCCAAACCCTAGCTCCTTGTTTTGTGGCATCTAGTTGTCAGTTACCTATTTTCCGATGGTGGCCTCTAGAAACCCATTGCAGACGTTATCGTCAGAACCTCCGCACCCCCCAACTGTAACGTTAGCAGCCAGTGTAGTGCTACAAGGGAAGTAAAGCTGGCCATTTAAAGACGGTACACAAGCAGCCAAAAGATGTAAATGGGGGAATATTGGCTGCAGTCCATAGGGGCATCCTCTTCTCATTCTGCCTGGGTGCTTTGCTACTCAGCAGAATCTCATATTGCTTGGCTTCTAAACCCTTTTCCATAGCATGCCATGGTAACAGTGTTTCCTGGCCTTCTTTTCAAGCTTTTGCTATCAACTGTCCCTTTTCTCTTCAAGATCCCTACCCTTCTCACTGTTTTCCCCATTATTCTCACCAGACCACTTGCTGCTCTTTTCTCCATGATTCTTATGCCTCCTTTACCTCAGACAACAACCAAAAACACCTCAAGAGACCCTTTCAAAGAAAAGAAACCAAACATTTTTTTATTACTTTTCAATTTGAATGATTGTGATATTTGCACCACTTCGTAATGACGAGCCTCTCAGGTACATACCGTTAGAATAGGTGGTGTAACTGAGACATCAGAGTATACACATTTTGACTCCGTTGACTCCTGCTCTGTCATAACCTCTCCCGTCTGTTGCCAAGTGACTTTAGTTGGCTGCATACTTTTATTTACAGGACCAATTGTTATGTTAAGTTTTGTTTCTGTTATGTTTTCCCCTCATTTGTGTTTTACTCAACAGTTAATGTCTTTGAGGCCAGTCTTCTTTTCGTTTCCGACTACTACATATTTAAACATTATGCTTAATAACTTTTCTATTTCTTTGTATTTTTTCTTTCTATGCACAAAACGTCCTTATATTGGCTATAGATGTTAGTTGTGTTTCGGCCACTCGTTGATATGTGTTTGTCCCCACTCTTATTGGACAACCTGTAAAACAAAATGAAGAAATTAGCTATTAAATCGTCTATTTAAGTGTGTGTATATATATATATATATGTATATTCTTTTCACATTTTAACCTTTCTGCTTCTCATTCTACTCTTTCTCCATTGCTAGTTTTTCTTTGTCCTGGGACTCTGAAAGCTGTCGGTGAACCTTCCTTTATATTTGAAGCGGAGCAGCAAGCCGGAGCCTGGTGCAAAGACCCACTGCAAGCCGGCGACAAAATCTACTTCATGCCTTGGACTCCGTACCGAACAGACACTCTAATCGAGTACTCCTCCTTGGACGACTTTCAAAATGCCCGTCAAACCATCACCTACAAGCTGCCGCACCGGGTGGATGGGACTGGATTTGTGGTCTACGACGGGGCGGTGTTTTTCAACAAGGAGCGTACCCGAAACATCGTGAAGTTTGACCTGCGGACTCGAATCAAAAGCGGCGAGGCGATCATCAACAACGCCAACTACCACGACACGTCGCCCTACAAGTGGGGAGGAAAAACAGACATCGACCTGGCGGTGGATGAGAACGGGCTGTGGGTGATTTATGCCACAGAGCAGAACAATGGTATGATGGTGATCAGCCAGCTGAACCCCTACACGCTACGGTTTGAAGCTACCTGGGAAACGACCTACGACAAGCGCTCAGCCTCCAATGCCTTCATGGTCTGTGGAGTACTCTATGTGGTCCGCTCCACCTACGAAGACAATGAAAGTGAAGTCAGCAAGAGCCTGATTGATTATATTTACAATACCAAACAGAACCGTGGGGAATACGTTGATATCCACTTTCCCAACCAGTACCAGTACATTGCAGCTGTGGATTATAATCCGCGAGATAACCAGCTCTATGTGTGGAATAACTTTTACATCCTGAGGTACAACTTGGAGTTTGGCCTGCCTGATCCGGCACATGGTAAGAAACCGTCGCCCCAATCATTTCTCCTGCACACAATAGTGTTAAATTGCATTGCTGAGATTGCGATTTTAGTTCCTGTCAACTGCACTTTTATATTCCTCTGCTATCCCCATCTATGTATCAAGTGTCACAGCTGACTGATTTTTAATTTAGAATCTAATATGTGCTAGATATGTTATGGGAAGCTTTGGAGTGTAGGAAAGCATTGAAGTGAGCGGGGCTCTGTGGTAAACAACACCTCGAAGCCAGTTATCATATCATAAGGGATCAGTATCATGGGGATTTGGGAGGTTTACCATCCGGGCGTTCCCTGAGTCCCTGGTGCTAAGGCTCCAGGGACCCCTGCTAGCATATTCCTTTCTTT